ACCAGTATTCGAAAAACATACAGAACCTAGTCCATAAAAGAGACTGCAACAAGGTACTGACTTCCATCTGTTGGTTCCTGGTGTCTTAGCAAATATATAGAACATGTAAACACACACATTACGTATCTAAAGATGTTCAGCATATGAAATTATTTTATCTTTTAAACCTGACGAAAAAATGTCCTTATTTACTGTTTATTGAAGTACTAAGGTGCTATTCCCTTTCATCAATTTACTGTGTATTAATTAACATACAAAGGGCATACTGTATATATACATATTGCATGGAAGGGTATACTAACATGCATTCTGTAACTGAGCAACCTGTACGATGAACACTGAAATGTAATTGCTTTTACCTTCTGCTCTTGAAATAGAACCTATTTTTTTTCCAAATCTGTTTAAAATTTTAAAATACTTCCTCACCCTTTTTATTTTCCTATGTATGTAGCATGTCCATCACTGGTGCAGAACAGTACATTCTATTAGCTTGCTTTTCTAAAGCATGCATAATGGAACTGAAAAAAGACAAGTTAAACTGGCCACCTCTGCTCTTGTCTTGCTTCAAAGGAATCTGTTGAAAAAAAAAGCAGGGTGCAAGACCCACACGGTGTAGCTCTAGCCAATTGCATTCCAGAGAAGTGACCATGGCTTGCGATAAACAATGCACAATAGATCATTCTGCTCAAAGGAAAAAGGAACCTTAGACACTGAAAAAAGAAAAAAAAAACATGCCTCACAAGCCAGGCTGCCTTTCCCAATGCAAAAATGTATAAGCTTTCATTTAGAATTTTATTAGCATTGCATATTGCATGACTGCGGCAATCTGCATATGACAGAAAAGGCAGCTTCTCTCTCTGAAGATGCTAGGCTTTCCATAAAGCCGAATCAAAGCAATTCGTTTTATATTGTTCATTGCTATCACAAACAAAAAGCATTTAGCACTCACCCTTTCGCAGGCTCTGTAATCCTAAAACCATTTTTCCATCACATCATTGAATCTGAGATATTCCTCCACAGAAATGTAAACATCCCACTAACATTTCTTTGTTTAGATTTTGTAGCTGGGTAGGTTTTCTTTTGCAGCTGCAGGTTTTACAGCTTTGAAGCAGGTGGATGACAAAACATCAATCTCTCTAGGCACAATGTGTAGCATGCACGTTTGACACACTCCTTACAAGCAATATATAATCAGAAACTCCAATACTGTCGTTTAGTCTATTTTGGCAAATATCTGCTATAAGTGGGTACTCCTGAAGTCATGCATTTTAGGGTTATCTGGGGTGTGAAGAGGATGCTTACTAAAGCCTTTTTTAAATACAAAGCCTAATTCTGCATATCTGGGCTTTTTGAATATTGTGATGCAGTTTATTCTGTGTAATGTTATTTTCTTATATAAAACCAAGCTGTGATATTACATAGTATGCAACATGCTACATACTGTAGATACTGTAGATATACAGTATATGGTGTAAAATATTTCATTGGCTGTCTTGTTTTTCATATAAATGACCTACATTATTTGGGATGGATTGTCTTGTCGCTAATGATTTAATTCCAAAATATCAGCCCCATATTTTGAATTTCATATATTTACCAGATGTAAAAGTAGTGCCTTTGAAACCAGCAACCTCTGCAAAGCACAAATTGCAACTGTTCTGTTTTCAAAAACTCTAATGCTTAATAATTGAGTAGATATTTAAATACAAAGATTACATCAAAACAGTACACATTACAAGAAGAAATGTCAGGAGCCCTTATTATTCTCACAGCATCTATACACAAACATACATTATCTGACATAGCAAGTTACAGTACTTTTCTAAAATCAGTAAAAACCTGTAATGTATATTGTTCAAGTTTAATTATCACAAGTGCCTTCTACAAAAATTAAGAAAATATACAATAAATACTAAGAGAGACAATAATGAACTCAAGATAATGAAAACCATTACTCTTTATTTTCTGTTATTACAGGAATTAGTTGTATTATCTCAAAATCCACATTAAATTATGACATTAAATGTCCAGTAAATTAGTACAAAGTATTAATGAAGATATATTATTTAATGTGTCTTGCACATTAACACAGAGTATTTCACCCTTTGCCACTTCATAGAGCTATAAAATAAAAAGCATCTCAACACAAATACATTGTAGATTGAAATTTGGAACAAAAATGGTATTGTAGACAATTTTATGTTTATGTAACATAAACAGAATATTCTGGAACTATTTCTTCTGCAGACTTTAGGAATGGCTTGTGTTATTCACCACTCTACCCATGCAGCATGTTTTTAAGAAAACTATTCCTGATGAGCTTAAGGTTTGTTACTTAAGGTTTGTTTCAGGATGTTACTGGTGTCTCTCTACCATGAAGTCAGGGAGTATGATACTTCAAAGATACGTTTTACAGTTTTCACACCATGTAAAACGTGCACTTTTTCAGATGTAGTTATCAGTGTTGACACATAAAATTAGATTGCGCTGTAGCAGTTTTTTTTAATCAGTGTATGGTGTCAAGACAGCATTATGAATATAAAATTAATGTCAATAGATTACAAAAGTATACTGCTCTTTTTCCGTGTATACTGGAGTAAAAGTAAATTCCACCAAAAAAAACATTTTTTTTTACATTTCATGTTGAAGATACCTGATAATAGTTATGCAGAAGGTGAGCAAAGCTTTTTTTTTATTAGCATGCCTGAGGCTTTTGAGTACCGGAGCTAGCTGATCTTGTGACTTTTATTTCTGGAAAGCTTTCATTCATAACCAAAATGGATGATGTCTGGTTTTGAAGCAAGCAAAGTACTTGATAGATCTACTTTCCTCTTACAACAACCCTCCTCACCATCACCAGGGAACTGACTTCTCTTGGACTGTTGTTGTCAGCCTTCGTTGTCTTTCAAAGTGACTTTTTACTCAAGCACAAAAGCATTTTATTCAGAGGAAAAAGGGACTCTAGAATGTAGTGTGCTTGATCATGCTGGCTACTAAATATCCTTTTCAAAAAGGAGTAGTAGCCAGTTGAATCTGGTTATAAAGAAATATAAGACTATAGTTACGAGCCTTTGGACAGCAATTTACCATCAGTGAAAACAGGCAGTTAGATCATTAAAGAATTAATCCTAATAAGAGAGCTCTCTGTCATCCTTGAGGTATCTTACGTTCTGTTTATAACCTGCTGTGTGCAGTTTTAGGATATGAGGACAGAACATGAAGGCATTTTCTTTTACTCTTTCAGAGCAATAAAACCAACCTTATTTACCATTTTCACTGTGGAAATGATTTTTTTTCTTAGCCTTTTAGCTCAAAACGAAAAAAAGACCAGATAATCTAATTATTACTATTTCACTTCGATTTTTGATCAATACAATTCAGCAATCAAATCCAGTACTAATCAAACACATACTTTATAAAATATGACTTTTTCAGAAATTTGAGTATTTTCTTTCTGAAAATGTCACTTTTTTCTGTATGAACAAACTCCTCATTCTCTTAACCTCATTCCTTTACTTGGAGAACCTCTGAACAGTGAAATTTAGGAAGTAGATTTAAACAATTTAAAAGAGTTAATGCATCCCTTAAGGCTGTGTCTTTTTTAGCCTCACTGTTATCATCGCATACAGTAGTTACAGGGATAAACATACTGGATAATGTTAGAAAGGCAGACATATTTTCATCATTATTACTTGTAGGACACCAACACATTAAGCAGTGCAGTGACCACATCCTATTTTGCCCTCCTACTTTACTCCTGAATATGTGTTAGAAAACAAGTGCACAGTGAGAAATATGTGTAAGCTTGCCTGTGCATGCATGAAGGTCACACAGGTATAACAGTTTTAATCACTCTGCAAAACATCTACATCTCAGTGAAAGAGACAGCTGAAGCACACTGGAAATGCTGCTGGCAGGAACACTGAAACAGGAAGTCAAGGTCCATCCACTGGCATTCCACTCCCAGTACCACCAACTGACTGGATGCGTCCATAATCAATCCTTATCTTGTCAGCTTAATGTGATAACCCTACTGTACAATATCATCATCATCAGATTTGGGGGGACATCTGAGGGATCATTTCTTTACAAAAAACAAATTCAAAGGCAACATACTGTAGAAGATCTTCAAACCCCATTACAACCATCAGATGCTTGATTCCATGGTAACATCAAGACCCTTTCTCAGTATGTCAGTGTTAATACTGTGCGCATCTGCATATTGTTAGTAGTCTCATGGATGTTGGCAAAGGACAATGATTTCTGATAAGTAAGACGGCATGTCTATAAAGGCGGTGCCTCAAAAGGCTTGCTCTTGTCCGTGTAAGGGAATGACTTTTTTTGTGGGAGGGTCTTGGTACAAACATTGATATCAAATTTAGAAGTCATCTCATTGTCCTCAAAGCCAATTTCATTGCACAGTATTACAGTATGTTAGCTGACACAATACCTCCAAATACCTGAAGAGCACATTGTGTATTGCAGATGTACAGCTTGTATTGGTTCCAGTAGATGGCAAGTGTTAACCCGAATAATACTGTCCAATAAAATAACAGTGCACCAGGTATGAAAAATTTGTAGCAATTATAAGTGATATTTCTTTTGATATTCATTGCAAATGAAATCACCAATGAATGCAAAGGTCATGAATTTCTGGCTGTGAAAGGCAAGATTCTTTACACAGCCCGATATTCTACTGCTTATTTAATGTTGTAAGAAGAGTACTGGTATCATATGCACAATGTTAAAGATCGTTCTAAAGAAAAAATGATTCAAAGAAATACTGGGGGAAACAAATCACAATTAAACAGTTACTAAGTGCAATTCTATATTACTTAATTGTATCGCGAAAATGTTTGACAGTGCAAACACGCTTTTTTAACGTTGTAACAAATCAATTTTCTAGCAACCTACCTGACAGATAATGCAAAAGCAACGTCTTAAAATAAATAACAGAAAAAGAAGGCATTTGTCGTTTAATCGCAAAAAACCGGGGGAAAAAAGAAACTTAAACCTCAGACGGAAACGTACAGTGGAAAAACAACTTTTCCACTCCACGTTTGTCAGGGACATTTTAATAAAGTTTTGTTTTCAAAGGACGATGACGTAGAAGTCGGGTGTAGGTTTGTTTCAGCGGCGGGAGTGACAGGAGAGCAAGTTTGCAAATCAGCTGGCGTGATATTTATTGAAATGTTAAAAGGTTAGTTTTATTTTTTTTTATAGTAGATGTACGCATTCTGTAGAAACTGCAATGCATTTATGTTTAGAGAACACGTATAGGTAAGGAAATGATTATGAAACTTTGGTTGAGTGCGTATCAGATTGCAAATTATTTCTAACTACACAGCCTTCAAAATATAACGAGAGAATAACAACTTGGAAAGTTCTCATAGCTTATGTTTGATTTTAAGTGATTTTCTTCTGATTGTAGTTTACTACAATAAGTAAAATTAACGGTGTGGATTCCTAAAGTGTGTCGTTCAGTATTTATGATTAAATGTCATTTTTTGAGTGATGTCAATGTGAGTTTTAGGTGGATTTTCATTGAAAACATAGGGCCCGGTTGTTTTTCTGTGCATTTTCCTTTTATGGAAAGTCAGAGATGAGTCTGATTAAATTTAATTTAGCATCGGTGTCTCTTTTTCCACTTAAAATTTAGAATAAGTGGAGTGTCAGATATGCAGATAACCTGCATTTAAGTAAAGTGTTAATATACCGTTTTATCTTTCAGCGCTAGCAACAAATGGACGAAACCTCGGCTTTGTTAATACAGAACCCATTGCTTCTACCTCAGAATAGAGAAAAAACTGTTTACGATGGGTTTATTACAGCTCAGGTAAGAAGACGCGTATGTTTTTGATAATTTAGCAGAGCGAATTTGAAATACAGCATCTGAAGTTCGTAATTGGCAAGGAAAGAAAATAGCTGCATTTTAGTTGTTTTTCTTTATAATTTATGATTCCCGAAACAGGAAACGAGCCATGTCTTATATTGCATCTAAACGTGATTTGCAAAACGTTGATTATTTTGTTTTAAAGGAGAAGGATTTCAGGATAAGAATAATATTACCACCAGATCGTCAACTCAGAGAGGCAAGGTAATACGAAAAGTTTTCCTTTTGTGCAATAAGATCTGAAATGGAATGTGTTTTTGCCTGTTTATCTTCCGTTTCTGTTATTTGAAATTACTGTACATCAGTTTGGTTTTATTTGCTTACAGTAGCATAATATCACATTTCTACTGAAAGCTCCAAGGGCATGTAAAACATTTTAACAGTTATAAACTGAAAAAAACTGGAGTGAATGGAAACCATAATGTTAGCACTTATTCTTAAAAACTTCTATGCTTCATCCCAATATTGAAAGAGAAGCGGCTATAACAGTTATTCTCACGTGCAAGATGATCCCCAGTAGAAATGGCATTGCCCATGACCTGTTGCATTGGTTGTATCATAAGTCCATCAAAAATTTGTAATTAATCCCATATCAGATTAATGTGAATGACGAGTGTAATATAATATTATTTTATTTTTGGTTAATTCAATACATGTATTTGATCTTATTTGGAAAAAAAAAACTTTGTGTTTACTTTATGTATAACCCAGTGATTTCCAGTGACAATTCTTTGAAGTGTAAATGTCCAAGAGTATTTGGTTGTATAGGAGAAAGTGAAGGTTTATTCAGTGCTGAAAAGAAACAAAACGTTTCGGCTGTGGAGCCTTCTTCTAACCAGGGTATGAAAGTACCTCCATCATGCTTTACAGATTGGTGTTCTTTGGAGTAGCTGTAGTTCATTTCGTTTCGTACACTTGAAGCTCCCAGCTTTTTGGTAATGGCTTATTTGGGTCTCATCTTCAAAGTTGCCTTCTTTAGCAGAAAAGTATTTGATTTTTATTTGGACTTCTGACCATAGACTCCAGACACTGAAGTCAAAATACGACAGAGTAATAACATATTGTGATTAATTATGCAACAACAAACAAACCAGACCAATGAAATACACCTATCGTTCCATTGTCCAAATAGTTATACCTTTCAAAATAAAGGCACTCTCATTTGGGTTTTTTAAAAATATAATTTGTAAGGAATTCCAGTTTTTATTTTATTTTTTTGCCCTGAGAAATGGTTGTTGTTATTAGTGTCACCAGTTTAGGCTTTTTGGTGGACCAGTAGGCGGCACTCTTCCCTCAATCAGAATGTCTAATCCAACATCCCAATCCTGTGTGGTGACAGGGGATACTGTAGTAGTGTAGTGTCTGTCACCTCCTGTAGGGAGTGCACTCTTTGGTCCTCACAACCTCAATATTTTCTCACTTTTCAACATTTGGGAATCATTGAAGACTAGGAAGGTGGGTTTGGAAAATATAGTGATTAAGCAGATACCAGCTTCGTTTAATGCTCTTTTTTGTTATATGTAAGTAATGCATAAGAATGAATTCTGTTATATTTTTTAGACTGCAGTGCTGCTGGCAACTAAAGCAGTTGTTGCATGAATATCATCATATTATAAAGCAGGTAAAAATACTAATTTTAGAATCTTTAATCTTTTAGAGATTAGAAATGGTTGAAAAAACACGTCCTATGAGAGCAATATAGCCATGATCAGAATGTATTTCAGCCAGATTTCTGGTGATGCTGGAGGTTTTTATGTTTTTTATTATGTGTTATTTTTCATTTTTCAGTCCTTAAATAACATTGCTTTGAAAATTGTCTTGTTTGTAAGCCCTACTGTTAGGGCATTAAGACTACATTTATGTTTTACCTTAGGCAGTAAAGTTCATTATTTTGATAGATTTAAAATGTTATTAATATTTAAAGCTTACGGCAGCAACCATAAATCACATTGGAGAGACTGAGCCTGTTTTGACCTGCTGGTATACTGTTTTTTTAAGAAGAAAAAAGATTACATTTTTGTTTCCCAAATTAACAATGTGATGTCTTTCATTGAACTGCTTTGCTAATTGTTTTTTTTTTCCCCAAACAGAGATTACATCAGTCTTCAGATCTGGCTAGTTTTATATTAGAGCTGAAAACTGTCCTGGTGAGATGTGCTCATTATTGACATACTGTATATAAATTATTATTTTTGTCATAAAACAGAATAAGCTAAGGATGCTTGAGATTTTTATATTCTGCTGCATTTTAGAACTAGAATGAACTTCACTATTGTGATGCCTTATTCATAACTAAACAGTGTCTGAGCTCTTTAAGTAGAGTGGCCTTCTCTATCCATTTTTTTGTCTTTTTTAGAGGGTGCACTTAAGTGTTTAGAATCCTGTGTGCACCTATTATATTAAAAAAAGTTTCACGGATTATGTGCACTTGATTTATTTACATTTCCACGAGCAGCAGTGAGCTGTCTGTTGCCAATGTAATAGTTACGAGCAGAATACTGTGTTTGAAATGTGTGCTATTATGTTACGTGCTTGTGCCCATTTCAAATATTAGGAGGACATTTAGTATCGCATTGATTTGGGGTTCATTTGTTGTAGATTACATATATTGATTGAATAGGTGGCAATACAAACACGTTTTTTTTTAAAGGGAATATGAAATGTGAAAATGAAATGTTTAATTTTGGTAAGGATATTAAGGGATAAATATAATTATGCAATAAGAATCAATATGTATAATGCATTTTAAAAAGCTGTCTAAATATACAGAAAGATTTTTAAAATTCAACAAATGCTATTGGTTTCGATACTCAATTTCAATTTTTTTAATGCCCCCAGTGTGTAAATGTCTGTATGTCATGTGCTGGGTGTTTTTCCTTTCTTAATGTTTTTTTTTTTTTTAACCTGTGTTTCCCTTAAAGGAATTGGCTTTGAAGAACAGGCAGGGAATTCAGACACTCCCCCCTCCTGAGTACTATGCACAGCTTATAAAAGAAATAGAATGCCTTGGATGGGATAAGTATGTTTTTTATTTTGCTTAATCTACTATATTTTCTATATCCAGTAGTATTTGACATGTTTTAAGTGGAGATTTATGGTCTTATGGAAGGTTTCTTATCTGTGGAATTTGCTAACATCATCCTTGAGCACTAAAATGCATAACAGTAAGGGTTATTTAGAAAGCACAGAACCCTTTTCCAATACTGATCTCAGCATGTACGTGTTTCACTACATTTGATACTTACACTCCTGTGTCAACCTCAGTGTATTTTAATTGTATTACTGTATACTTATTCCAACACTTACAGTAGGAAAAATAAGCATCATACAGTATCTGTATCCACAATATAAAATACAGTGCCTTTTCTCAGGCCTTTTGGCAGTTGGCAAAGCTCCCCACCGATGTAATGTGATGTCTATCCTAATTGGCATGTTAATTGACATTACTAGGGGATGAAAATTTTAGGAATTTAGTGCTTGATTTGGATAAGCAATAAGCCACTTAGCTACCTGGCAGAGGCAGTGCAGGATTAAAAGGGAATACAAAGCTAATTTGATGACCATCTTAATTTATATAGGTAAGAAATAGATCTAAAAAGAGAGAGAGGAATGCTGGCCTTTTAAAAAAAAATCATCTTAGACAAAATATTGGAGTAATCCCTGGTATAGACAGCTTTTGTTTTTTTTCTTCTGATTTGTTAAGATTTTTTTTACTCTGGTTTTTTTTAATGACATTTACATCTGGTTTTTACCAGAAATGCTATAAATCTGTTTGGCTATATTTAGTTTTTTTTATGGAGTGTACATTGTAATATTCGTGCATGCAGATTGTTTTAATTAGAACATTAATTCTCAGCTTTGAGCGGTATTTTGAAGGTAAGTGAAATAAATAATAAATGTAGACTAATAAATTACAGACAGAAGCACAAGACTTGAATAACAAGGTTCTCATTGTCTATTGGTAAATGCACTTGAGGTTAATTAAGTTACTTAATTGGCTTTAACTATAATAGCCACAATTCTATTTTTAGTTAGATAAGAACATAAAGGCTACAAGGGAAAGGAAGTTATTCAGCCTTTGTATTGGTCATAGTAAGTTCATAATAACAAACTTAAATGACTGGTCATACATAATAAGTTAGCCTTCAGAAACAGTCACTGTATTTTTAGCACCCTTAAGATCTTATAACTCATCCATCTATTTTCAAACCACCTTATTCAATACAGGCTTGTAGAGGGGCCAGACCCAAAGCAATAGGCACAAGGTAGAATAAACCCCAGCACACAAAAAAAACAGACACGCACACACTCAAACCAGGGCCAGTTTTCCAAGAAGCTGATTAACTTACCAATATGTCTTTGAACTGTGAGGGGTACCCAGTGCACCTGGGGGAAACCCATGTGAACATGGGGAGAACACACAAACGCCATGCAGATAGCTCCCCAGGGTCTCAGCACTGCGAGACAGCAGTGCTAACCAGTGCAACACTGGGCCGCCCGGAACTCATCACCTTTCTTGCTAAATAAAACTGAAGTGTTTCAGCTTCTTCATAGCTGTACGGATGTAGTCAGTTTGATCTTACATTTCCATTGGGTAAGAAAGATAAACATTAACATCCTTTTAGATACTGAATGTAGGATGTTTTTTTTTTACTTACAGGTTTAAGAAATTTTTGTCTGAGTTTTATAATGTATTGCTTGTAATGTCAGACATACTGACACTGTATTTGATTTATTTCAGTTTTAAGGGGAATTTATACCTTATACAGTTTAAGATAAAATTATGTACATATCTGCTAGTCTTATTCTGTTTATCTCTTCTAAACTGGTATAAGTTGTTGGTCTGTAATCTCCAGAGTGGGAGTAACATTTACAATTTAGAGCCAAACTGGTGTATTGTAAGGGCTGACATTACTCTGAATGTAGTTATTTGTATGTAGAGGCACATCTGTATTTTTTAAATCATTTCTAATTGCACTTAAGAATGATAACTTTTGAAAGATCAGTGTGCATTTAAACATATACTGTATCTGGGGGCTATTGTACTGTATGTAAGATGTATTGTCTTTCTAAAGGGCTATCGTTTCAATGTACTACATGTCTAATAGTAGCACGTTCTGTTTTGGCTACTTAAATTTACAAGATTTAGGCAGACTCAAGCAATTCAAATGCCTAACTTGCAGTTAGTAAAACACCACCAGAATATTATTAATTAACTTTGAAATAATTGAAATAAAAGACCCTGAACAGGAACTTGGTATGTAATGAGGGTAAGGGAAGGCACACAAGTGAGAGTATCTGTTACAGTATAAAAAAAAAAACTGCAGCTATGGATCAAAGGTTCTGACAGAAAGTTTTATGTGTACATAAGTACAGGCTGACAGGAACCTGCTGTGTGTTCCAAAGGTCCCTGTGATGGAAAACTGCAACATGGTGCTCACTGACCACAGCATGAGCCCTGACACACATTGTAAATAACCCTGAGATATATGGTCACATTAAGCAGCAGACTGGTGTATTAGCAGCAGTAAATCTGTGACAGCAGAAATGCTTGGCACTCAGGACCTTGTCCATTTGATATTAGTTTCAGATTAATAGTAGGAAAGCAAACACTTCCAGCCACCTCCACCACACTATGATTTCATTGAACCATTTATATATAACCATATATATAACTTTTTTCCCTTCTCAGACTTGTGTTCATCGACACTGAATTTAGCACTCTGAAGCTGAAGGCTGAAGATAATTCCAGTCGGGAACATCTGATTACAATTAAATTAAAGGCCAAGGTGAAACGAATGTATATATTTCTTTCTCAAGTTTTAAAAAGTTTTCCAGGAGTAGAAAAAAAAAAAGATATTGCTGAATTCTTCCTGGTGATTCTGGCTAGTGGTTAGTTGAATCTGGAGCTGAAATACTGTAGTTTTTCATGGGATGTATACAGTAGTTGTGTTCTTTTTAAATTGGGATTTTGAATGAATTTTGACACTCAGTTTTCTCCAACTTTGAATTACTAACTCTTTAATTGACTTCACTACTGACATCACTGCAATGCCCAGAGTCTATAAGGCTCAACCTATGTCCCTTAACTGATTGAGCCACTTCATAATCTTTTAACCTAATGCAGTCAAGTTATGTGATTACATTTTATTACTGTTCATTAAGGCTCATAAAGGCATTGTTTTCAAGGGTTTTGGAATGGTTGATGAACATGTTGTAGTACAGCAGTTTTAACGTCTTATTTGTAATGGGTTATGTAGCCGAGGTGTTTTAAAATGTAAAGGATTGTTATGCTGCTTTTGTATAGAATTATTAATGGCAGAGTCATTAATTTCTTTAATGGAATAGTCATCATCTTCAAAAAATGAGATTGAACAAGACAGTCACTGGAAGTCCTTTGCTGGAAAAGTGGACTCTGGCTCTTGAGGCTGAGAGCCAATAACTCCATTTGAGCTGCTGCCTAATCCATATTTAATCTTTTGTCATGGTGAAAAGGGAAAGAATCTTTTGGCCACCCTTTTACAGCTTACTCCTACAATTTTACAGGAATATTTTACAGGTTTAACAATCTACTTAGTATTAAATTGGAAGCTGAAAACACTATAGATGAAAGCAATGGTACTATAACGATTAGATTCAGCAGGGTGTGAAATCCCCTAGTGACCACCTGCCCACTGTAGTTTAAAAATAGCTCTGATCAGCTCAAATACACATCTGCCTGCCAATTCCACTAGGTCAGTTTAAACAACTTTACCAGGAAAGTTTGGAGATTTTACTGACACAATCAGGAAACTGGTTTAATAATAAATTTTGTGCACAAATAATATGTCCCTGTATGTTTATTAATTTGGTCTTCATTACTTATATTACATTATATAATACAATGAGCATTGATGAAATCATTAGGTGTGTGCATATTATGTGCATATACCATTTTTTTTCATTTTTGATAAATTGTTCTACACTATTTTAAGTAGTTTCTTTCATTTTTTTTCTTACTGACAATAGTTCATAGTCATATTTTGTATTAATCAGTATAATGTGCATGCTAGGGACATTTCTGTGAACCGATGACAGTTCATTGATTGTAATGGAATAATTATATGGGTTGATCTTAATTGTTATCCTTTATTTTCTTACTGATTCTACCTTTTTTGTTATTTTACTTAATGTGTCAGTAAATCTTTTTATGCACATCTTAAACTGGTTCATTGACTGACCTGGAAAGTTTTCACATAGAATATACAGCATGAAAATGGAGAATGTGGCAGAAATGCCATGAGTGAGCAACCAGTAAACTGTAGGTTTTATTTATAAATATTTATTTTCAGTACCCTGCAGAACCTCCTGACTGTTCAGCAGATTTGCCAGTCCCCTTCATTATCTCCTGGACCACGCAGGTAATTTTCTGAAGTCTTAGGTGATTTGATTGTTCCTGCTTTATTATTGATCATTTGGAATTAACCCATAGTGATTTCTCTTAAATGACTCTTCTAATTATTACACAGAATTAAAAAAATTCTGTATAACATTTAGAAATAAAAATGCAGAAGTGTAAAAATTCACATAAAGTGATTTCTTATTTGAAGACCTGCCAATGAAATGTCAAATTTAGTGTACTTGTATGGTAGGGAAAAATGCGCAGATGTATTATATTATTATGTTTATAAATGGAATTGCGAACCATGATTAGCTCCCTTAATCTGCATTTTAATTCAGAAACTGATCAGCAGTGAGGGAATGTACATTACCGATTAAAGTCTATACAGATTGATTCATCCAAATTGAATAATCTTGTTACTTTTTTATGTTTCACATCCATCCCAATCCGTAATTCACATTTTCAGAAAAACGTTAGCCTTTTCTGTATGGCATCTGTACAGAAATTCATAGAGTTACCTTATGGTCCCTGTCTTCCTGCTGAGTTGATAATGTTTTGATGTATTTTTCTTCTGCTGTGATGAGAGGCCTGCCGCTGCTGCTGTGACATGTTCATTTGAATGAATAATTATTACTTGCACCATGTCAAGATGAAGATAGTAGGGCTCTTTGCGTCATGGCAAGAGCAGTATACAGTGCAGGTGTCTCGCAGCATGATGAGAGAGAGCCAGTGCACTGGAGCCCAGAACCAGCACTCTTGAAGAGTGAGAAATGAGAGCCAAGGGCAAAAATGATGTTTCTGAATGAGTTCCAAAGTGAGACAAATACATCCTTCATTAGCAAGTATAATGATGTAAATAGTTGTAATTTGTTACCAACTAAAGACCAGTGTAATTGCTGAAGTTACTCTGCTCTTAAATATTGCATATAGTTTACAGCAAAAAAAATGTCCAGTGTCTTCTAATCACCTTAATCTTCTTCCAGGGTTAATTAAAAAAATACTTTTTTGTCTGTTACTTTTCTAAATTTCTTAAAAGGAAAAGAGAATAAAATTTTAGCCATGTACGTGTAATGGTGAATAGAATAAGAACTTATTCAGCTCAGTTTATATACACTGTTGTGCAACATTCACGCACATTTTGTTTACAATCAGGAGTTACAATTTATTACAGTATGTTAGGAGAATCCATAATATGCTCAAAGCAAACCCTATAACCTAGATTATTATTAATACAGTTGCTTTTGTTGAGAAGAAATCAAGCTTCTCATTTAGCAGTCTTTAAAGCACATTGCTCAGACAATTCAAAAACTTGAGTGGAAAAACTAAACCTTTATATGGGTAGACAGTACAACAGGTTTTAGTAACTAATCAATTACATTTGCTAAACAAATCTTATTAACTTGTTGCCTGGTGTTCCTCTTGATAAACTCCGTTTGTTCCATTCTAAACATGAATAACACTAAAAGGCTACTTTTTGTACTGCCAGGTACAGATCTATGTATATTAACTAATTTCAAAATGGCTAAATTTTGAGAAAAAATGTTTTTGCATATAAAAGGATATCATTCAGCTAGAAGTAGAACAAGGCAAAAAAAAATCTCAGGCTTTTGTGCATCATTGTACCTGTACTACAGTACATGTTTCTACTGTTAAACCCTTACAGTAGCTCTGTTATAAAGACTTTATGAGCACTTAGGCCTGAAATGAATAGAAAATATGTGTCATCTTTGTAAGCTTTGAGATTGAATTGCATAGACTGTAGGTCATGATTAGTATTTTTATTTTTTACATTGTTAGTGTCAAGTTTTCTCTGCATTTTGGTGATATCATGCTACTCCTTGCAAACCATCATTGAATGAGAAAAGTTTGGTTATCTGATCCTGCCACCTGCCCAGATATGTCCTTTGGGTATTTCTTTTTCTTGTCTTTGTGTTTTTTATGTTTAAACAACCAATCAATAAGTGTAGTTTGGTAAGCTAAACATGTAGCCAGTGAGGAGTTATACAAGCTGCAGGGTCCTGGGTTCGATTCTGCTTCAGAGTCATGCACTCTCTGTGTTAACTTAGACTTTCTCTGAGCGCTCTGTGTCTGCCTAGCTCCTGAAGCCAAAACGGTGCCGTTGTGTGCTCTTAGTCCCACTGTGCACCCTGTCCTTCCAGAATGGGCTGCAGCTAGTGATGACTCTCACCTGGATACACATGCTTTTGATAAATGATGGGTGGATGGAAAAAGTGAGGCATTTCCAGAATGTTTGCCATTGTCAGAATGAACTGTGTTCAGCACAGCTAGAGGAAGGCAAGCCTTTGAAATATCCTTTTAGTGAAACTGCAAGCAGTTAAATCCCCAAATGGTTAAGGATATAAAGTTATTAGGGAATATTCATCAGTAAAGTGATGGAGGGTGAGAAGTCAAAATGGAAAACACTGAGTGTGAGTGTTGAGAAAATTATACCATTATATTAAGTGTCATAAGAGTACATAAGCCAATATTCTTGAAATCTATAAAAATTAATAAATGTTGAAAATTATAGCCCTTAAGAAGGGAGTTATTCTAATCAAAGATCTAGCTAAACGACTTCTATTATCTGACTGGAGGTATTACAAAAGGAAGAAATTACTGAAAAAGATAATGATTAACATTCCACCTTTATTCATTTTACAGTAAAAACTTGGAGATTTTATACTGCTGTTACTTCAGGGATAAAAGGCAAAGAATTAAAATTTATGTTCACTAGAAACTTAATAGGTAATGAAAGAGCACATTTTGGATGCTATTATGCATTTAAAATGAGGTAGAGTAAAATGGTTATCTATTTGCTGTACAGATGCCCTCATCGAGGGAGACTTACAAAAGTTAGCATGAAAGTACTACAAATTAGTAAGAAGTAAATTGATAGTAAGGATACAGAACAGTAAACACCCCATTGGTAAATATTCCATGTTTACAGTGGATCAGTGGAATTAATAAGCTACACTAGGGTATTGGACTCATCTAGGGGGTTGTGGGTTGATGTCCCTGCTGCAGACATTTATTTTACTGAATATCCATTGTGCTTTACCCTGATTGCTTCAGTCCATCCAACTGTGTTAATAGGTACTAGCATAGTTACATGCATTTTCCGTACCAGTAAGCTGTTTTTTTTAACTACTTAAAGCTACAGAAATCAGGTTGGACTGGCTGATTGAGCCAGTAATCTTGAATATGGACTACCCATTTTCAAAACAAAAAAAGAACACACAAATGGCTAGATATTATGTATGCATGTTCTTCAGGAAAATAAGGAGTCCATGCTGTTTCTGCAGTGCTTAAAGTTACTGAGTTTGTGCTGAGAAATAGAGGTTAAACTTAACATAAATATCACAGAGCATGATCTCCAAATGTTTAGAAATCTGAACAGATTTGTTTTTCTTCTGATTTGAAGAGATCGTGATTATGAAACTGTTCATGTACTTTGAACTTCAACGTTTCAGGCTATGGTTAAAGTATAGCCCCAAAACGTGATTGTTATAGCGAATGAATCCTGAAGATATGAGTTGGCATACATATCACATTACTGCACGTATATCAGATTTATGCCACAAAAACCAAAGTCCTGCATTGCATGAATGCTGTTATACAAATAGTTCAATGCATGATGAATGATAAAAGAACAGTGTGTATAACAGAATTGCATATCAGGGAAAATAATATGTTATTAAGCAAAAAGTAAAATATTTTGCATCAAGTATTTCCAAGTATTCCATATACAAGTCTAAAGTTACATTTAGGGGCACATATCAGTAAACCTAGATAAAGCGTTTCCATGGTGAGTAATTTCTATCCAAGAGGAAAGGCTCTTAAGGTATGGAGACCTTTATCAGTATTATTTTTTCTTTGAAGTACTTTCAGCATATTAATTATTCCTTATCTTTAAAGGATTATTAATGTCTAGATGCTTAGTAATGTACAGTATGTTTGGGTTAAACCACTCATTTATAATTTATAGGGTTGATTTCTCAGACCTGGTGACATCAAATAACATCATATCTCATAGAGTTTTACTGTGTATTGTAACCACGTTTAGCATTGCATTTCCCCTCTTATGTCTAACCTTTAATTTGTGTTGCAAATAGTGTTATAAGCGGATATTACTTAACATGTTATTCAGTGACCTTGATTCAAACTTTGTGTTTTTAGGATAATTATGATTATTTTTGATAGTTAAAAAATCACATTGTTCTTGGGGGAAAACAAATTATTTAGGCCTTTAGGTCCCCCTTCACCAAAGGTTTATAACCTATATGTGATATAGTTCACCGTCTCCATAGGTTTATCAATGGATAAGGCTTGCCTTATTACTTGATAGGCTTTTGTGAATGAGTTCCTTGATGTCCTGTAACAATATATTGTGAATGCATTTCCTAATATAGTCAAACATGTCTTTACAGAACGTATTAGGGGAATGACTTCAAGTGATGGTTTAAATGTGCTTATTGTTTACAATTTATGTTAATGTAGAGATTTGTGGTGTTAGTAGCTGGAAAACATGTTTATTAGTGCTTTCTAGGTATATTATTTGACTGCCAAGGAAGAAAAGTTTTGCTGGAAACCTGCTTTCCCTGTAGTCATGTAGAATAAATAAATAATGAAAATCAAAGTGCAGTTAATTTTCTTGTCAATTCCCTTCTCTCCCTCTCTTAATCCTTTATTTGAAGCAGGTTTTTGGATTACATCATAAGTTCCTCAACTTGCAAAGCAGTTGGCCGGAGGGCTCCATTATTTGCTTTGGGCTTCTTGTGCAGATGTGGCTGCTTTACTGTAATATAACTAAAAATAAACTCACTGCATTCAGGGATCTTAGCTCCAGACTAAACCTTTCAAAATAGTTTAGATTAAAGGCAAAAGCCCAGGTCTCCAGCTGGAACGTCCATCCAGAGAAAATGACCTGCAGTCTGTCACACTGACAGGAGATGGTAAACCCAGGCCAAATTTTATCAACCGTCAATCATGTGATATGATTTATGAGCTTGTCCTAGAAGACCTTTTTAACTCATTAATATAGTTAAGTGTTTGTATCTTTTAAAATGGGGATAGTCACTAAAACATCTGCAGTAGCTATGGTACAGTAGATTAGCAGTTGACTGCAGGATAGTTTAGGTTGAATGCCTTTGGCTGTCCATTGACTGTGAACCATTTTTCTCTCCTCTTCTTTATCCACGTCTCCTTTGGTTATCCCCTGCATCTGATATAAAATAAATAAAAACAACTAAGTATTCCTTTTTGGTGAAATTATTAAGTCTAAAATTTTTTTGTTTAAGATTACTGATGGCATGTACAGTTTATTTGTAATATGACAGAAAATGAATAATTTGGATTTCATCCTAAATTGTGGATTCTCTAATATTTATGCTGAAAATCCAAAGATTGATTCCTAACATAAAAGTACTAAGATGTGGCACAAAGCTTGTAAATCCCACTGTAGTTTATGAGTGGTTCTGGTTTTTGTCATTTATCCTTTGCAGACTACAGTACAATGTTATAATTGTGCATGAACTGTTTGTTTTCCTCCCAATTAAGCATAATCTACCATTGGAACAAGTAATAGGTTTATTCCATGCTGAAAAAAAGAAGAAAGAGAACACAACGTTTCGGCCGTGGAGCCTTCTTCAGGTGTGGGAACACCTGACACCTGACACCTCACACCTGAAGAAGGCTCCA